AGAACTGGAGTCTAAGGATGAAGAGTGGCATACATAACTTTGAAGGTAAGAAGGCTGCTTATGCACCCTAGTAGATCTTCTGAGTGTAATAGGAGAAGGGGAAGAGGTAGGTTGAGGAGGAGAAGACGAAAGAGCAGAAGTAGATGGAGGAGGAGAAGCTGAAAAGATAGAAGAGGATGAAGAGGGAGATATATGAGCAGAAGAAGTAGAAAAATGAGGAAGTAGGGGAGAACCATTACAAATAGGAGATGAAGAAGGAACATAGAATGAGGTATGGGGAAAGTCATCAGAACAGTCAAAAAAAGGAAAAGTACAAATGCTAGGAGCACCACCAAGTTATACAGTTTATAGCCTTTCTTAGCAAAAGGGTACCCTAAGAATACACAAGACAAAGCTCTAGGCTGAAACTTGTCCTTATGTATTTTAGGGACAGTAGAGTAGCAAATACAGCCAAATGCCCTAAGGTGAGAATAACTGGGAGGTTTAGCATATAAGAGTTCATAAGGGCTTTTGTGATTTAGTAAGGGAGAAGAGACCTGTTGATCAAATAAGTAGCAGTCAAGATACAATCTCCCCAAAATTTAATAGGTAGGTGGGATTGAAAAAGTATGGCCCTGGCAGTTTCAAGCAAATGCCTATGTTTTCTTTCCACCGCTCCATTTTGTTGTGGAGTGTGTAGACAAGAAGTTTGATGCACAATGCCTTTAATAGATCAAAAGCATTGTTCTTGGCACCCAGTAAGTGAGTCCAAGTAGCTCTAGTATAGTCATCAAGAATGGTCAAGAAATATTTTGATCCATCATAAGTTGAGGCATGGTAAGGGCCCCAGGTACCAATGTGGATTAATTGAAATGGTGCAACAGTTTGTATTGAACTATCAGGGAATGGTAATCTGGTTTGTTTAGCCAGTGGACAAACAGGACAAGTAAAAGATTGTTTGAAAGATAATTTGGTATTACAATTAGAAATACATTTCATCTTAGAAAAAGGCAAGTGACCAAGTCTATAATGCGAAACAACATCCTCTTTATTGACTTTATTCAGTAGCGCATGATCATCATGTACATGTGTATCAGAAAACATATTTGCATCAATACGAGAAATATTGGAACACTCAATAGGAGAAACATTACAAGGGATGGAACAAGGTATGATACTGGAAGTGGAAGAATTACAAGAGAAGGATGTTGCAGGAAGCTGAAAGAGCTTGTAAAGTCCATTTTCTGGTCTACCAAATACCACTGGCTTCTTTAGTGAAATAAGATTATAATGGAATGAAGGAACATATAGGACATTGTGGAGTATTAAATCAGTTGACAAGGTCAAAGAACTAATATTAGTGACCTTAACTTTGTATCCATTAGGAACTGAGACAAGATAAGGAATAGGAAGAGTATGAATATTGAAAAGAAGAGATTTGTCAGAAGTCATAGGATCAGAAGTTCCAGAGTCTATAATCCATACTTTGTTCTCTATTTTAGTAAGCAAACAAGTTCTTAACAGACCACTTTTAGGTAGTAACTCACCAGCAAAGTTGGCTGAAGCGAAGAGATTTGGAGTGGAGCTTGAACTAGACAGATGTGACAGCTGCAGCAGAATCATTAACTGGGAATACCGTTGTCCCACCTCCTTTTTCCCGATGGGGGATAGGGAGTTTTTCCAATTTAAAGTGACATAATCGAAATGAGATTATTTATTTATTCAGAGTCGCCACTTGGAATAATTATCGTGTCCCAAGTCACTGGTTTATTTTAAATTCCAAATCGAAGAAACTTGACTGTGTTTTAGAGTCAGCGAACATAGAAATCTGGGTAAAATTTTTGTTAATCTGAGAAAAGGTGTGAGGCACTCCCGTGATTTTATCACGGTCGCTTAACTATTAATAATTTGCCTAATTATCTGATTTATTACATGTTTTAAACCTATTGTGTATTTTTAATTTTAGAACCGCTTTTGATTATTTACAGAATTATTTCTAGAACAAGTCACGATTATCGTACATTTGTCGTTTTTGTTCACATTATGAATCGCGTCACGGGAACCGTACCCACGATCTACAACATGTTTATTTTATAATTATTTGAAATTATAGTTTGGTCACATGAAATGCTCACCCTTATTGAGATTTACGTATCGCGACCATGCCACTGGAACCGTACCCATGGCCCACGATGATTTATTTAATCGCATCTAAAGCAAGCTACGAATGTTCATAATTATTTTCTTAAGTTTCAAATTATTGTGAGGCTTAAGAGTTGTTCATTCTTCTTACTTAGCACCACTCATGGCCTATTCTTATTCCTTGCCAAGAAAGAAACAACTCCAATTTTCCATCTTCCCAATTAAAAGCATTTATTCAAGAACCAAGACTAAATACATCCCAATCGAAATAAAAACTAATTAAAACAATTTAAATAAAACTAAGACATGCTACTCAAACAACGTAGAATCACAATTCAACCAACACGCGCACCAATCTATCATAACAAAATGAAATGAGAATGAAAATTGAGAAATAGACCTTTTATTGATGAACAAAGCTGAAAATTGCAAATCAATCGGGCTAAACAAAGCAACAATCCTTGAACTGAAAAACCGAAATTGTGAAACAGAACCTAGATGAAAAGGAAAATATTACTACAAGCATTTGGCAGCCACAAAGATAGTTTTAAAGATCCTCTCCGGTCTGAGATGAAACAAGCGTGAACAGACACAGTCCACAGCTTCAAGAACTGCCTATTTTAGTTTTAGCATCAGGGGTAGCATTGGAATTCTGATCAAAGGTTAAGGAGGACATAGGAGATGAGAAATGAGGTGAACGAAATCTGTGCAGAAGAGGAAGATAAGTACAAGGAACAAGAAAAGGAGAGCTAAACGCAAGAGAAAAAAAATGAGAACCAAGACGACGATGTAATGACCGAGGAAGCTGAAAGGAGACTCGCATTGGTCTATGTATACTAGTAACATTTTGAGTACGAATAAACAAGCTTCTTTTGTGACATTGCCATTGCGGCTCCAACTTTTTCTATGGGAATTGCTACTGGGTTCTTCAGATTAAGGGGGGTTGGCGTTAGCTCCCTNGGGGGGGGGGGGGGTTGGCGTTAACTCCCTTTTTTGTGGGCAGCTGCTCCGTTTTTTTGTTGCCCTTTTGGAGTAGGGAGATGGGGTCTTTTAAAAGGAGTCTATGTTTTAGGTCTTAGAGTTACGTTAGTGAGTATTGGTCTAAGGTTATTTGGGCTAAGGGTAATTGTTTTGGTCCAAAATTGCTTAACAAAATTCAAAAATGAGACTAGTTTTGGGTTGTTCAAACTCTTTTAGCTAAAATCCCAAATCTTATTCTAAAAACTATAATGTATTTATAAAATATAGAAATCACTCTTAATTAAAATAAATTATTAAATAAAACCAAATACTAAAAGTGAAACTATTTTTGTATATTTTTTAATTTTATGAAAGGTACATAAACTAAAAGTAACTAAATAAAATATCAATTAGCTAAATAAGAGAAAATATTTTTGTAATTTTTATTTTTGTGATAAAATAAAGTAAAAGGGTCGAAACTAGTTAAAATAGCGGCATTAGATCTAAACTAAGTATTTAAATGCTAAAATATATAAAATATCGGGGAGGGTCAAAAATTACATGTCTACAGCTGCTCCTTAGTCAAACCAGGCACTTCAGGTAGTTGTTCAGACTGAAATTGGGGTTGGTCATCATAACTCGCAAAAGCACCAAGAAAACCAGATTTGTCCACTTCAGTATCGACAGCCATTTCCTTGGACCAGTAGTTTTGGCGAATTTGATGTTTGGAGGTAAACCATGCAATTTGTAGCACTTTTCAATAATATGGCCTGGTTTTTTACAATACTTGCAAATAAGAGAAGGTTTAAGAGAATTAAAGCTGACTTTTGACTGAAAATTCAGCTTGGAGACACCAACATTGATTGAGGCAGAACTTGAGGAAACGTGAGAGGCAGAAGAAACTTGTCTCTGCTTTTATCTCTAAGCAATATGTTGTATATAGTGTTCATGGAAGGAAGAGGCTTTAACATAATGATGTTGCTCCTAACTTAAAGATAGGTCTCACTGAGTCCCATCAAGAATTGATATACCTTTTGCTCCTCTTCAGCCTTTTTATTTCCTCCACAAGTATAAACACTAAGATGATTGACAGAAATAGAGGCTATTTCATCCCATAGTTGCTTGATTTTAGTAAAACAGGAGGCAATATCTAAGGACTCTTGGGAAATATATGCTAGTTCTTTCTTTAATTCAAAAATCCTAGCACCGTCAGTTTTTCCATATCTCTCTTCTAGTTCATTCCAGATATCTTTGGCAAGTTCTGAGTATTCAGCACTACGAGAGATATCCTTAGTGAGAGAATTGGTTAGCTAGGATACCACCAAGTCATTGCAACATTTCCACTGTCTAGCAAGAGGAGAACCAACAGGAGGTATCTCAATAGTCCCATTTATAAAGTCTAGCTTATTGTGCACAGATAAGGCAACTAGTATATTCCTTCTCCAACTACCATAACAAGTACCATCAAAAGGAACAAAGACTAAAGAGGCCCCTAAGATATGTGAAGGATTTACATAGAGAGGGTGACAAGGATGAGTAAAATCATCAGGATGAAAAGCAGTGTGACAAATAGAGGAGTTAATTGGAACGGATGAAGACTCAGAAACACTTTTGTGTACAATAAGAGTAACAATACCAATCGTCATGTTTACTCAAACGATATAAACTAGATAGACATGCATCTGAAAAAAATGAAAACGATGTTACCAACTCTTTCACAATCGGAAACACACGGCCTTGAACGAGAAAAAAACGAAGGAGATAGAAAGCGGAAGCCAAAACTCTAGAATCTAAGGAGAGTCCGGCTGAAAAGTCTGTATTGTCCCAGTCACTTGTAGGAATCAGACGGATAAGCCAAGACAACAACCAACAAATGAAAAAAATTGGTGAATCAAACGCTGAAACCCTAGAATCAGAAAATGCCTTTGATGAGAGAACTCAAACAAAACTTTGGCGAGAAGTTGCATGGGTAACATCAGACGATAGCCAAGGACGAGCTCTACCATAATCCAGCTTGATACCATGTTATAAGCTGGAATCGACATGGATTTTGAGGAAAAAACCTAACTAGGGCTTGAAGTTTCATAGAGAAAGAGAGAGAACGAGCAGAGCTTTATTTCTCATCTTTTTGTAAAATAAAATGTTTCTTCTGTAGAAAATAGAATGTGGGCCACTTTATTTATATGAACCGATTCAATCCACTAAAGCTATAAATAAAAATGTGGGCCAAGCCCAAATACACTAACTACACTAACTACCCCACATCAGTACAAATATTAAACTCAACACACCCCAAGGAGGTGTGATATAGGCGGCCTATCCTAATGCATCAGTGGCCGATTCCACGGCTCGAAACCTTGAGCTATAAAAAAGGCTTTTTCAATTGCTAAAATTAAGCTACATCTAGCACTCTGCTAATCAATTTAAGTAACTCCCTAAAGACATCCTTTAATACTGATTAGAAAAAGAAATCATACACTTTATACCGTATCTTAATATATTCTTCTTTTGTTGTGTGCTTTATGTTTCCTTTATATGTGTATTATATACATATAATATGCATATTTTGTATATCTTTTTTGCTAGAAAATGCAATTAGTTTCTGCCAACCGATCAAATTTTAATTTTGTCCTCTTTCTTTTAACTTTGGCATTGGAATAAGAGAGTTTTCTCAATTTCGAATCTAGCATTATATTTATTATTTTCGGTGAAAATGAATTTTCTTGGACTTGATATATTATGTTATATTTATACGATAAATTCAACGCTTTACCTAATAAAGTTCCATGGCCATTGGGCGTGGATTTTTTATTTTCAGCATTTAATCTAAAAATATTACTCCTATATAAAAATTTCCTTTACTAAAATCAACTAACTGTTTTCTTTTCTCCCAAGCAATTAGTCTCTATTTACATTATTACATTCTTAACTAAAGATTGTAGGCTAAATAGTTTATTTTGGTGTTTTTTATTGTTTTGCTACGAAGAAGAAAAAATTATATTGTAATGATGTAATTGTAGGCTATATCGTTTTGGTATTGAGGTTTTGTACACTACTTCTGGTGTTTTACTCCATCAGCACAGGTTCATTCATGATCTCTTGATAGAATTTTGTTCTGATCTGTCTTCTCCTGTGGTCTGCCCTCTAGAGTTACACGAAAAATTGAAGGCCAATATAGGTGATCGTTCACCCAGTCCTGAGTTGTATAGGAGTTTGATTGGCAAGTTAAATTTCATAAAACATATTAGGATAGATTTGTCATTTTCTCTGCAGCATCCTTGTGTTCCTCATATGAAAGCTGCCTTGCACCTCTTGAGGTACTTGAAAGGGACTTCTAATTTACGGTTGTTCTTCAACAGCTCCTCTGATTTTTCTCTTCAAGTTTATTGTGACAATGATTTGGGTTCTAGTCCTGATAGTAGACGGTCAGTGACTAGTTTTTGCATTATGTTGGGTGGCAGTTTGGTCAGCTGGAAATCCAAGAAACAACGTGTTGTCTCTCTATCCTCCGCTGAGGCTGAGTACAAGTCCTTGAGAAAAGCTGTGGCTGAAATTTCCTGGCTCTCTAGACTTTTATCTGATTTTAGGTTTACTAATCTTTCTTCTATTCCTGTCTACTGTGATAACTAGGCTACCATATACATTGCAAAGAATACTATTTTCCATGAGCGGACCAAGCATATAGAGTTGGATTGTCACTTTGTGCGCACCAAGCTAGTTGATGGCCTGATTTCTCTACTACACACTTCCAGCTCTACCCAAATGGCTGGCATTCTCACCAAACCTCTACCCGGGGGAGTCCATCATCTCCATATCAGCAAGTTGGATGTGTTACCAACCTCCAACTTGAAGGGGGGGGGGGGGGGGGGTGTTGAGTTTAATATTTGTACTGATGTGTGCTAGTTAGTGTAGTTAGTGTATTTGGGCTTGGCCCACATTTTTATTTATAGCTTTAGTAGACTGAACGGGTCATATAAATATAGTGGCCCATATTCTATTTTGAACAGAAGAAACATTTTATTTTACAAAAAAAAAAAAGATGAGAAATAAAGCTCTGCTCAATCTCTCTCTTTCTCTATTCAACTTCAAGCCCTAGTTAGTATTTTTCCTCAAAATCCATGTCGATTCCAGCTTGTAACAGGGTGCAGCCATTTCCTGGATCCTACGCGAATGCAGAATGCGTTATGCACCGAACTGCCCTTTTTTTTAGCAAAGCCTTAATAATTCTCACTTCATACACCCATCCCATTTCTTGGGAGAGCTATGTAATTTGAATGATCTACTAATTTCTATATAATAAGAACATTACATATACACTGATATAACCAGATTATTAATGATATATATTTTTATAAATCTTACAAACAAGAACAATATTATTTGAATCAAATGACGTGAAAAGTCTCATAAATTTAATTAGATAATAAAGAAAATAAATGTCATTTATGAACAAAACAACAATTGTCAGTAATATGTTCAAAATATTAGTATATAACGTTTTATACGGTCAAAATTATATGCCCCCGATTTATAGGCTCAAGGTTCCGTCCTAGGCCCGGGTCCGAGCGAGGTCGAAGTTCAAAACTGGTGGACCAGACTCAAGCTCGATGACAAAGTGCGATGCCCGAAGATAGGAGTTCGACGAATACTGAGGCCTAGTGTGCTCGATCCCGAAATAGTACCATTATGGGTTTGTAACAGAATGAGCTAGATTCTTTCCACGTCCCCAAGATCATGATGCGAATCACAGAATAAGATTGTACGATTCCATACTAGGCGGTTAGATAGCTGTATCAAGAATATTTCCTACTGTAACTAGAAATATTCCTTATTTAGGGTTCCCTTATTATATAAAGGGGATCCCAATCATTTGTAACATGATCTGATCACTAAGAAAAGAATATACTCTCTATTTTTTGCCTACTGTTCGTCAGCATTGTCCTTTAGCTCTATTGTTCTTACTTCACTTACCTTATTTTATTGCTATTAGTCTGTCTCGAGGTCGCTACCGCTAGGTTACGTTGGTTTGATTCACTAATCTCTTTCATCTTTACCTCTTATTTCTTGATTATTAATTGGTATTGAACTAAATCACATATCTTTAAAACCACAAATCAAATCTAATTGTTACTCGTATTTTTTAGGTAAACAGTTTGGCGCCCATCGTGGTGCTAAAGATAATAGTGATTGTTTCTTTACCGATTCTCGTTACACACGTTGTTTTTACACTTTTTCTTGCCAAGATTTGTTTTTTCTCAGGTTGAAACATGTCTAGCTGACAAAATGCACCCATCCATGACAACAAAGGTCTTGGAGAAAACAGCAACGCAGGGGTCGGTGTACCACCGATAAACCCAGGGGAAGTGCCAAATGTGGAACCAGTTGATGTTAGTTCGCACATCTTTTTGAAGGCAGATCTAGGTGTGGACCCCGATGGAAATGAACATAGGGATGCCCGATCCGGTGGCCAAAGAACACAATGAATGGGAGATGGGGGAGTCACCCTCCAAGTGATATTCGAGATGATGCAAGCTCAGCAAATCGCCATCGCTCAACTTCAGAGTTAGAATAAAACTCCAAATATAGTCGAACTAGTAAACACTCAGCGTACAGAACCAGCACCGAAAAGGCCCGATGAGAGTGTCTTTGGGACTAACCCCACGATTTTGAGGATGCTCGAAGAGCTAACCAAGAGGATTGGGTCCGAGGAAAAGAAAATTGAAGACAATGATAAAAAGGTGGAGACCTATAACTCTCGTGTAGACTAGATACCAGGGGACCTCTAATTTTGAAAGTTTTAGACGCTAAAAATTCATACAAAAAATATTCCCTCATAGTGCGGCTCCGATGCCCATTCCCAAAAAATTTCGCATGCCCGATATACCCAAATATAATGGAACAACCGACCCCAATGAGCATATTACTTCATACACTTGTGGAATCAGAGGAAATGATTTGAATGACGATGAGATCGAATCAGTCTTGTTAAAAAGATTTGGAGAAACGTTGTCGAAAGGAGCTATGATTTGGTATTACAACTAGCTCTAACTCTATTGACTCGTTTGCTATGTTAGCAGATGCCTTTGTGAAAGCACATGCCGGGGCCATAAAGGTGGCCACGAGAAAATCAGATGTCTTCAAAATAAAACAAAGGAACAACGAGATGTTAAGGGAGTTTGTGTCTAGGTTTCAGATGGAAAGAATGGAATTACCACCAGTCTCTGATGATTGGGCAGCACAAACATTCATGCTGGGTTTGATTGAAAGAAGCTCGATCGTATCTCGACAATTAAAACAGAATTTGATCGAATACCTAGCTGTGACATGGTCAGATGTGCATAATTGTTTCCCGTAAAAAATTAGGGTCCAGGATGACCAGTTGGGAGCCCTCTCGGGTCAGTTCATCCTAAAAGATTCGGAGCCAAGCCCTCAAGGGACACAGCTCGAGAATCAATATTCAACAAAGAACGGTATCAGCTGTATGTCCATTGAAGGAACAACAACTCAGGTCAAAACGCTCCACGGAATGATTGAAGAAAAGATTGAGGCCAAAGTTCTCGGGGACTCACGAGTAAGAGCGGGTTCGATAAGCATATCGACCCCGCCAAGGCTCCTCGATTATCAAAATACAACTTCAACGTAGATGCGCCGGGGATTGTCTCAGCTATTGGAAGAATCAAAGACACCAAGTGGCCTAAACTTATACAGACCGATCCTTCTCAAAGGAACCTGAACTTGATGTGCAAGTATCATGGCACACATAGTCATAGAACAAAATATTGCAGGCAACTAAGGGAAGAAGTGGCTCGGTTGTTAAACGAGGGCAATCTTTGAGAATACCTAAGTGATCGGGATAAGAATCACTTCAAGGAGAGATATGCAAGGAGAAATGAGTAAGAAGAACCACAACATGGACTCCACATGATCATTAGAGGAGTCGATGTCCCTCAACGATACGACCTGGTTCAAATACACCAAGGTGTCGATCACGAGAGAAAAACGGACTCAGAGTTATGTTCCCGAGGACATCCTATCATTTTGTGACGAAGAAGCAGAAGGCTTATCTCAGCCCCACAACGATGCCCTGGTAATCTCTATCCTTTTAAATAAAATTCAAGTTAAATGTGTTTTAGTGGACCAGGCAGCTCAGCAAATATAGTCAGATCGAGGGTCATGGAGCAACTCGGCCTATAAGATCAGATTGTACCTGCATCCCGGGTTTCAATGACTTCAACATGGCGAGCAAAACAACAAAAGGAGAGATTATCTTGCCAGTAAACGTTGCCAGGATCATACAAGACACCAGGTTCCATGTCATCGAAGGTGACATAAGGTACAACGCACTCCTCAGGAGACTGTGGATACACAACATGAGGGCAGTGCCTTCAACTCTTCACCAGATGATGAAGTTCCCGATAGAGGAAGAAGTGAATACAGTCTATGGAGAGCAACATGCTGCAAAATAGATGTTTGCAATTGAGGAAGTGGCGTCAATACCAGAACCTTTAACCTCGGAGAAATCGAGCACCAAAGATAAGCAGGCGACCAAATGAGCAATCACCGCCTCTAACCTCGATGGAGTCGGAGCAACAGTTATGACAGGGATTCCACCGGAAATCACCACGCATCTACTAAGCATCCCAGGTTCAAACCGGTGGAGCAAAAAGGAGGCCTCAATCCGAGGTAAAGCATGAATTTGTAAAAGACGAGGTAACTAAACTTCTTAAAATAGGATCTACTCGGGAGGTAAAGTACCCCGAGCGGTTAACCAACTTAGTTGTAGTTCCTAAAACAAAGCATGTCCAAAAGATCTTTTCCCCTTGCCAAACATCGGTTGTATGATCGATGCCACAACTGCCCACGACTCCATTGCTACAATGTAGTGCCCTTCGGGCTAAAGAATGCAGGATTACATACCAACGCCTAGTTAACAAAATATTCGAAGAACAAATAGGAAAAATAATGGAAGTCTATATTGATGATATGTTGGTTAAGTCCCTGTGCACAGAGGACCACTTAGTTCACTTGCAGGAAACATTCGTAATTTTGAGGAAATACTACATGAAGTTTAACCCAGAGAAATGTGCCTTCGGAGTTAGGCATGAAGGCCATCCCATGTTCTCTATTATATGGCTCAGAGGCCCTCATTCCCATCGAAGTCGGAGAACCCAGGACCAGGTTTCAACATGCATCAGAGGAATCAAATCACGAGGCCATGAATGCTAGCTTTGAGGTATTAGATGAAAAGCGAGAGGCAGCACTTGTTCAAATGGCCACATAGAAGCAAAGGACAGACCTTCGACACTTTGGAATCGGGGAATTAGTTCTACAAAAGGTCACCCTCAATATCGAGACCCTAATGAAGGGAAACTACGACCGAATTGGGAAGGGCCGTACCAAGTCCTCGAAATTGTCAGTAAAGGATCTTAAAAACTTAGGTGAACAACTTATTGGAACATATTATTAATCAAACGATACTATTGTTAAGGTATGACTTTATCCTTTGTCTATTTGAGTTTAAAACTAACTTACTACAAAGATTCGATCGAAGCTATCGAAGGTATGCGATCTCGGAGACACCCATTTTTACACGAAGGCCTCATGTTTTTAAAGCATGCGTTGCACTCTTT